TAGGGGGAGACCTGGGGCAGGGGAGGAAGGGGGAGGGGAACTAGGGGGAGACCTGGAGAAAGGGGAACCGGGTTAGGGGAACTAGGGGGAGACCTAGGGGAGGAAAGGAAGGGGGACCTGGGGGTGGCCCCCAATGGCCTGGCTCAGGCAGCCCCTCGGTCTCCATGGAAACAGGGGGAGCCCCCTCCCCACCTCTCCAAAGGACCCGCCAGTCTCTGCTCCATTAATACAGACGTGTGTGGCGGGAGAGTTTGGAGGGGAAGGACCTTAAGGCTGTATTCCTGATTATCTGAAAGAAGTGTGCCTTGCACACGAAAACTCATACCTGGAATAAGCCTTTGTTGGTCTTCATGGTGCCCCCGGACCCTAAATCTGTTCTGCTGCAGTCCTAGGAGCACTTTCCTGGGGGTAAGGGCCACTGAACAAAAGCGGGCTTACTTCTTAGGAGGTGTGCTTTGGATCGCTCTCTTAATTTTCTTCTTCCCTGTTATAGACTTTTAAAAAATACAGCATCTGTTTTTGAGTGTTTTTCTTTGGGGGGGGGGTTGAGCAAAGGTGGCTTTTATATTACAGGTCTGTAGTTCTTTCTTTCTTTCTTTCTTTCTTTCTTTCTTTCTTTCTTTCTTTCTTTCTTTCTTTCTTTCTTTTTTTTTTTTTTTTTCCCCCCCCCCCCCCCCCGCCGCCGGAGCAGGCTCAGGCAGCTTACAGAAAATTGCAACAAGTAAATAACAGATAAAAGCATCAATATAGATATCCTCACAAGTCATAACATAATTACTAAAACCAATTTATATGATTATGACCGTACAATAGTAGCAGTAAAAATATAGATTACAGTCAGCAAATAATTTTTTTCTGCAGGTAAGCTGGGTCTTAGATTATTAGGTGCAGAGTGGGGCTGGGATGAAATAATTCCCCCCCCCCCTTTAGTTCCCAGTTATCCGAGTGTCAAAACAAAGGTGAGTTTAGGGAGGTCTGCAAGGTTTTTAAAAATAATTGACAGGGTGGTGCCTTTCTGGCAGATGCCTCTTTTGCATTCCACCATATGGGCTGTTAAGGGGTGGGGGTGCGAACTGAGTGTTTGGGGTGGGTCAAAGAGCCAGATAATATCAGGCCCCTTCAGGGCCTTTCCTCTGATGTGTGCACGTCTCTCTGGTCTCTTTTTGTGAAGGAGTCACTTCCTCTTGGAGAAGTTTAGGAGACAGGAGGAAAAGGTTGGAGGAGAGTGAGAGTGTGGTCAGGGAAGGGATCGAATGGCCTCGCCTGAGTAATCAGAGGGGTTGGGTTTCTTCTGGGGTTGCTGCCGACTTGCTTCTCTCCCTTTCCTGTGTAATCCGGTAGCTGGTACCTTCCTGTAACCTGTAAGTATTAAAGGACCTCAGATGAGCTCTTTTTATATAGTGTTTGTGTTTGCGGGTTTACGGGGGAAAGGTGGGGTTCGGAGGGCTGTGGCTTAGTGGCAGAGCCTCTACTTGGCGTGCAGAAGTTGGCAGATTCAATTCCCAGCATCTCCTGTTAAAAGGATCAGGTGGCAACTGATGTGAAAGTCTGCTGCCTGAGACCCTGGAGAGCTGCGGAGTGGGACTGTGGATAGAGCCTCTGCTTGGCACGCAGAAGGTCCCTGGTTCAGTCCCCGGCATCTCCAGTTAAAGGATCTGGCGGTAGGTGATGGGAAAGACCTCCACCTGAGACCCTGGGGAGGCGCTGCCAGTCTGAGTATGATGCTGAACCTGATGGACCGATGGCCTCATTTAGCAGGAGGCCGGTTCGTGTGTGAGTAATGGTGGCTTTTAAATTATAGATCTGCTATTGTTTGTAATTAATATTGTTATAGATGCGCTGCAGAGGTTTGTCACGCTGGCGGGGTCACAATACCGAGTGAATTCCTGGAATGCATTCGCGGGGTGCATCGCCGAGGGCCTTTTAAACGTTTTGCGCACTCTTTGTGGAATAGAAACAAAACCTGAACTTCGAACTGACTAGCAAGAGGATGAACAGACACAGAAAAGGAAGACGTTTAAACACGTCAGGACATTTTTTTGGGGGGGGGGGACTTCAGTTTTTATCAAAGTTGCTGTAAGGTTTTGTTTTGGTTTTTGGTACCTGGGAAATGGTCTTCCAGGGATGCTTATAGAGCCGCAGCCGATTCAGGGTGCTCACGGGAAGCCCACCTCATGCGGTACAGATACGGAGACAAGACTTCATGACATTCTTCCATCTGAGTTAGTGTGCCATGTGCGTGACTGAGAGCTGTGCAGGGTTACTCAATTTGGGGCAGCAGGAAAAATAAACTTCCTTCTCGGTAGCTGTTTCAGTCAGTCCACCAGAATATGCCGAAGTGCGGACTTCTGTGAAATTGGTTCTGAAACAGATTGTAACAGAAATGAGGCAGTTTCCACAGATAGAGGTACTGCCTGCCTCCCATTGGACTGGGAGTCTTAATTCTGGTGCTTCTTACTTTGTGTTGTCCCTATTTCATGTTGTGAGTTAGAATGGATAAAAGGAAGTACTTCTTCACCCAAAGAGTGATTAACACTTGGCATTCACTGCCACAGAAAGTGGTGGCGGCTACAAGCATGGACGGCTTCAAAAGGGAATTAAATAAGCATATGGAGCAGAGGTCCATCAGTGGCTATTAGCCACAAGGGATAGATAGGGGCTCTTGGGCAAGTTATGCTCTGTCTTCTTGGTGCTTGGGGGGGGGGGGTCAACAGGGGGAGGGCTTCTAATGTCCTGGCCCCACTGGTGGACCTCCTGATGGCACTGGTATTTCTGGCCACTGTGTGATACAGAGTGTTGGACTGGATGGGCCTTTGGCCTGATCCAACATTGGCATCTCTTATGTTCTTATGAGTGGAAGAGCTGTTTATTTGACTCCTGAAAGACAAGTCTGTGTAACTTCAGGTGCACCCCCAAAAGCACTTTTTGACACCCCCCCAAACTTTTTAACAGACGAATATAAATTTACAAAGCTACAATGAGCTACTTTTCAGGATAACATTCTTTTCAGGGCAGAGCAGCTCATGGAATGAAAGATCTTCACTTTAAATCTTACCGAAGAAAACTCTCAGACTCCCTGGAAAGGTACGCTGTTTGGGTCTATTAATGGACCTTTAATCTCTTTGGTCTCTCTAAAAGAAAGTAGAGAACTACCACATACAGAGCCCTGGCGATCAAACTTGTGTTTAAGTTGGGTTGTCTGTTTATTTAAAAGAGAATGGGAGAAATCTAGGTTTTTCTTTTTTTTCTCCCCGATGGGGAATTTTTTATTGCATTTTTATTAAAACTACAAACTATAACAGAAATAAGGTTCCTGGTTTCGCTTCAGATTGCATAAATCTTTCGCCTTTTAGAAATCTAGGTTTTTCCTTCCACCCCATCCTGAATTTCCACCTCCTCTTTTCAGGTATATGGTTTCTACCATTGAAATCTACTCTGAGGAACTGCCTAAGTTGCTGCAGCAGCAAGAAGTTGCATATGAACTTGCCTCTTACTTTATTTACTCTCAGCACTGTTTGTCCTTCAGCTTCGTAACTGTTGACCAAAGGGAGCCTGAAGAATGTCGCAAATACCACAGTCTTGTGCTGTAGAGCAAGCCCATTGGACTATTTGCCTTACTAAATGTGACAAAAGTGTATACTTCTAGCATGCAAGCCAGGGAGAGTAAAATCGGTACCTTCCATTCCAGCCGCAGAGCTGTCTCTGTGTAAGTAACAGGAAAGAAGACATTAATATTTAAAAGGTGGCGCGCAGACTTTGGGCTAACTGGGACAGCTTAGGCTGGTCAGATCTCAGAAGTTAAGTAGGGGTTGGATGGGGGGGCCCACCAAAGAAGTCCGGGGCCGTGACGCAGAGGCAGGCCACTGGCAAGCCACCTCTGAATGACTGTTGCCTTGAAAACCCTCTGGGGCTGTGACTTGATGGCACTTTATATGTGCACGCGCACACATGCACAAGGAGACTTCAGAGCCGTTGGTGCTGGATTGTGAAGTTGACATCATTTAGGGTCCTGCACATGCATGATTTTTCAAGTCACCCAGTTCCCTAGTAAAGGTAAAGGTTCCCTTGCTCAAAAGCCAGTCGAATCCAACTCTAGGGTTGCGGTGCTCATCTCCATTTCAAAGCTGAAGAGCCAGCGCTGTCCGAAGACATTTCCGTGGCCATGTGGCCGGCATGACTAAACACCAAGGCGCACGGAACGCTGTTACCTTCCCACTGAAGTGGTCCCTATTTATCTACTTGCAATTTCTTGCTTTCAAACTGCTAGGTTGGCAGGAGCTGGAACTAGAGACGGGAGCTCCCTCCGTCATGCGGCACACTTGGGTCTCGAACTGCTGAACTACCGACCTTCCACAGCCTGCAGTTCAGCGTCTTAACCACTTGAGCCACCGCAGCTCTTCCCTATTAGCCTGTTATTGTTTTCATTAACAAAGCTGTTCCTACATAATAGAGTTTGCCTCACCTGTATCTTAATGCTGTGTATTCCTGGGAGGACTTTTGAACTCGGACTGCTTCTTAAGATTCATTTTCACAAGTACGCCGAGGATCCCTCGAAGGCATACCACAGCTGACGCTTTAAATGAAGACACTTGTTTCTAAGTAG